CAATGATTAGCCGGTGCAACAGGTACGACTTAAGCCACGGGGTGGTGGCGATGGTGGTGGTGGTGGCCATTTGTGCCTCGGTGGACGGTTAATGCAAAGCCTAGGGTCAGCCTAGCGTGGCCTTCTCGACGGCCGGATCACAATGCGTGGTCCTGTCGTTCCCAGGCGGACCACAACCATGGCGACCCCACCTTTCCACCGTCGTCGTCCCTCCTTCGTCTTTCACGCCGCTTTGCCTTCGCTCGCGCGCGCCTTTTCCCGTTAAACAACCCGCCTGTTCCACCTTCGTGATTATCCTCTCGCTTCAACGACCCCGCTGCTACCGTTTCCAGTCAAAAATCAATCTTCCAATCGGCGAGGATACAACTTGATCGAATTTCTTTTATTCTAAATTTCTCGCGTCCCAATCCCACTCGCGAATAGGATCCGTTTCTGGGCGAACTCGAGGAGCGCGGTTGACAAGTTAACGAGGAAGATCTATTTTTCGTCGGTGAGAGGAGAAATTAAAGGGTAGAGCGCAGCTCGAAAGAAAATGATACTCGTTGCCGCTCCTCGTGAATTTTACGGCCTATCGTCGATACAAATTGCCACGTTATGTCGCGGCCGCCATTTTGCCGAGCTACCTGTTCAAGCCGGGTGCGTTAGACGAAAGAGGAGGCGATGCCCTCGTTCGTCGATTCCATTCTGATCTTCCTTCGAGCGGCTTGGTTCTCGTTTAACGAGCTTTACACCCGCGATTACTTTTTAACCGTGTTGATGACCGCATCGATTCTTCTATTTCCTTCTGGCGAGAATCGAAACTCGTAATTCGCCATTGGCCACCGATCGGGAAGAGCAGCTCCAAGTTGCTTTAGAAGACGATGGTTGATCATCGACCAGCGGGGATAAAAAAGGGAGCAGCGCGAGTAAATTCCTCCTCAATAATTATTATCCGGGATTACTCGAAATTATTAATTTTATTCAATCTTCTCGAAGAATTTGGTTAGGCTTATGCCCCTCCTGAAGGAAGGAAAATACCGCGAACTGTATTTACAACCGAGCTCGTAACCATCCTAGACCGAACGCTCGTCAAATGATTTGCTCTCTGTGTAGCAGTTCTAATGGTTCAATTTCCAACACCGAGTTTACGTGCAGCCCGTTCTCCATTTCCTCTCCCTCTCTCCTCTCGCGTTTCCTTCTTCAGCTAAATTGCCAGCTTCGCCTTTTTCTCGCTTTTCTTTCAGGGATAGGTCGTAACCATCCCTGAACTAGGCTGCAACTCTCGAGAAGCATGTGTATACATACACGTATACGTACATACAGGCTCTCGAGATTCCAGGTCTTCTCCTCTCCACGCTCGATTCGGTAGGTCGCATGGTGGGTAGGTCGTAATGGTTCAATTTGCACGAGGCAGCCACCTTGCTCTTCCCTCCTCCCTCTCGTTTTCTTTCGAAACACGCGTCGTCCCTTCTCGTACGACCTCGACCACGGACGAGATTTCCCTGGCCGGCGATCCGATCACGCCTCCTCCACTCGTTCCATTCCTAGCTAATTAGAAACTGCTCCGCATCGAGCGCCGGTTAAACGATTAAACCGCACGCCCGTAGATTAATCGCGCTCTAGGTAGCCCGGTTGAAACGAGAGAACCCTCGCCTCCTCCTGTTTCTCGTCTTACCCTCCCTCCTCCGTAGCAGAGATGTTTCCATGCCTCTTCGATCTTGATACCGCCTGTTCCCCAACCCTCCCCCCGAATAAGTCGCTTTCCCCTCCCTCCCCGATTTTATAGAGTCGTATATTGGAAACGAGCCTCGAGGACTAGATTTGCTTTCCTTTCACTCAGTTTCCCTATTTTTGTATTCTCCTTATCCCTAGCTGAGGAGAGGCGTCACCCTCGAGCGGAACGTTGTCGTCGCGGAAGAGGATCCAGGGATGTTGGAGTCGTGAGGCTATATTCCAGCGTTCCATTCCAGCTGATTTATGCCAACACGCGGGCATAAAGTGCGTAGCCCGCGGAGGGGGAACGTGCAGGGGATGGGGAAGAGCGGGGCGAGTTAGGGACACGCGTCTCCTCTGTATGCTGTATCCTGTTGTTGCGCAACCCGCCTCACAATCCGTCGCCGGGGGTTCTTTCTTTCTTTCTTTCTTTCTTCTTCCAAGAAAAGATTTACTCCCCGCATATATAATTTTTAATTATTTTATTTTTGCGCTCGTATATATCTCTTCTTTGATCGTGCAAACGTAATTTCGTCGCCATATTCTTTATTCGAGCTCGCGATTTGATTTCATCGTGGATTATACGTGGATGTATAACGGCACCTCGGATGATCTTAATTTCATTATCCGCTACTTCCTTCCCTCCCTCTTCCGTTGAAATCAATTACACAGAAATTACAAACGGTTAAAACAGATAATCGCGTAGAGTAGATCGTTCGACTTATATTCGCGTGGTCGTCTAATTGAAAGAAGTTAATCCATTGTCCATAAACTCGAATCCAATCTCGTCCCCTCCTCGCGTAAGTCCTCGCGCGGAGGAATCTGAGACTCTATAAAACGAGGCGGTACGCGAGGAAAGTAACGGAAAGGCGGGGAGCGCGAGTTCAATAAACGTGGAGGGAAATATCCCTCGCAGCAATCAGCCGGCAAACGGTACAACGGAGTTTTATCACCGAGCGCGGTGTCCTCCTCCTCGCGGCCTACGCCATAATTCGCGCCTCCCCTTCTCCCTCCATACTCTTTCGCGCGAAAATCCAAGATTTATCGACACGATCACGTTGTTCTCGTCCAAAGCGGCCGGGATTTAATTAAAAACCTCGTCTCGTCTCGAATAATTAATGACCGTTTGGAAGCGCGTACCACGACGCGTAACAAGTGTCCTCTCGCATTGTCCACCATTGTCTCTAT